TCTTAAATTCACGTTGAATTCATGATCAGAATCGTAATAGAATTGTATTTATTAATTCTGAGAGATTTGAAAATATGAGTGTTTGGTGAAATCTGGGTGCATTCTTACACAATGTGGAAGCGGTAGCTTGAACACGAAGCTTCCAATCTTTGATGGAATAAGCTGGAATCTGTAGATGATTCAGATGCGTGTCTTGTTTGGCGCTCAAGATGTTCTTGATCTCGTCAATGACAGTTATGCAACGGTTGCAGCAAGTGTAAACGAAGCACAGATAAACATGTACAAAGATATGAGGAGAAGGATCAGAAAGCTCTATTCTATATCCACCAGTGTGTGGATGAGAATGTGTTTGAGAAGATCGTTGATTCGACGACGGTGAAGGCTGCATGGAACACATTGGTACGGTGCTACGACGGTGATGCACCAATGAAGAAGATGAAACTTTAGTTTCTACGTAAGTTGTATGAGAATCTCAATATGAAGAACAATGAGAAGGTACCTGATTACATCTCCAAAGTGATTCTGATCACAAATGAGATGAAATCTTGTGGAGAGACTCTCTCTAAACAAGTAATCATTGAAGAGGCAATGAGATCACTTACACTCATTTTGATTACATTGTTGTAGAATTGAACATTCTAAGGATTTGAGCACCATGAGAATTGAAGAGCCGCAAAGCAGTGTAAAGGCACAAGAGTTTCGTCTGACTGAGAGAACCTTTGAAAGAGAGATAGAGTAGGCTTTAAAGGCATCTTTTGGTAAGAAGAATCATAATTAGTCTTGGTTAAAGGCCAAGAAGAGACATGGTAGTGGTTATCAGAAGTCAAAAGCCTCCAACCCTGATGAGAAGAAACATCAGAAGAGAAAGGAGAAGTTTGACAAGAAGAAGGTTCAGTGCTACTGTTGTAAGAAGTTTGGTCACTTTGTTGCTGACTGTTAATCAAACAGGGAAAGGAAATAAGGAGAAGCAAACATATCTAGAGGAGAGTCTAATGATGAACATGTGTTATTGATGGCTTTTGAGTCTGATGGTGGATATTTGGTAAACTGATGGAATATGGATATTGGTTGCTAAAATCACCTAACTGGAAACAAACAATGGCTAATAGATTTTAATAATAGAAAGAGAACAAAGATCAGATGTGGTGATGATAAGTATCTGAATTCCGAAGGAATGGAAAATATCAAGGTTAGAGTGAAGAATGGAAAAAAAATGTTCTGATCAAGGATGTTTGGTATGTTTCTGGCATGAAGATCCTTCTGATGAACGTAGGTTAGCTAATTGAGAAAGGTTTCTCAGTTACTATGAAGGACAATCACTTGAAGTTGTATGATTCTGATCAGAAGCTGGTTATGCAGACTGAACAAGGAAGCAACAGAACATTCAAAGTGAATGTGGAAACAACTGAAACTAAATGCCTTAGTGTAGAAGGAATTGAAGGTGACAGTGAGTTGTGGCGTAAGAGATTGGGGCATCTGAACTTCAGAAGATTAGGGCATTTGAGTTCTAAGAAGCTAGTATATGGTTGTAACACCCCAAAATTTTCTCTCCTTTTCTTTAACCTTTTTGGCTTATGCTTCATTTTATTTGCATCTTCGTTTGTGCATAGCATTGGCTCTAGACATGTGATCAAGGTATCTTTGGTGGTCCTCAAGATGAGGAGATGGTTCTCAAAGCAAGGAATAAGGAGATAATCTCAACATCATGCTATTATTGAGTTACAAAATCCTTCTATTCATCCAGAAATTCTCAACAACCTCACACAATCATCTGAATTAGGGTTCTCA